TGTGTTGGCCTTTTTGGCAGCTGCAGCACACTGCTGGCTCATATTTAGGTGATTGTCCACTAGGACTCCGAGGTCCCTCTCACAGTTTAGTTTTATTCCATCTTGAAAAGTCAATTGACCATTGCTTTGCAATGACGCACATTACTTGAGTAAGATATAGATTAAATATCTTGAGACAATAAATGTGGTACATGGTTGGAAAGAATTCAGATTCCCCAGAATACTGAAATCTGTTGATTTATTAGATTAGCTTCCTTTCCTCTAAGTCTAAGAGCTCAAGTGAATATATGAAGTTGATATCCTTGGCCTTAGTTCAATACTATAATCTTCTGGCATATGCAGTCATATACATAAAAATAGTTTTAGAATATTAAAACAACTTACATGTCACATGTGGTTTTTTTATATTTATCTTTGTATATTTACCTTTATTAAGATAGCATAATTTTTTTTGTCTGAAAAAAGCAAGTTCTGGAAAAAAAGTTGCATTGAATTTTAACCGTGAACTTTATCTTACAGAGAAGAGCAAATTCCTGTAGAACTAGTTCAGCGAGGAGATATTGTAAAGGTGGTCCCTGGTGGGAAATTTCCAGTTGATGGAAAAGTGATTGAAGGCAATTCTATGGCCGATGAATCTCTTATAACAGGTAATTCCTTACTTTGAAAGAATAAATAATTTACCTTTCCAAAGAGTTGCTGTTGTGCAAGAAGATCGGGGCGTGTTTGTGTGTAGGGAGGGGGAGAGATGAAATATATCAGGGCTAGGTAGCATCTAGAAAAGTAACATCTAGCTGACCCTGATAGATTAGAAGGCTAAACTGGATATGCCCAGTTTAGTTGGCACTAGAATGGGAGAACCATGTTGGAAGTCAAAAGGTGTATGACAGAGTCAGAAATAAAAAAAGATCTCAGAAGACAGAAAGGTGAACCACTTTTGTTCTATTCCATTCAAAGAAAACTATATGGATGCGCTAAAGGACTAACCAGTTTGAAGGCAGTTTTACCTCTGAACCTCAAGTTGGACTTCTATCTGGGTTGCCTCAGCCACATATGGTGGCCCAAATCTTATTTGGAAAGAATCCCAGGAGTTTTGTTGCCTTGAGGGAACCAAAGTTAGGAAGGGGATCCCTTTAGCCCCAGATGGATATTTTTGGATCTTATTAATAATTGGGTGAAATCACAAAGTGATCTCCATTAGCCAACATTTTTCCACATCCTTTGGTCCAGAGTTCTTGACTCCTATTTCACTATGTACAAGATATATTCGAAGGCATTCCTTGGAATTCAAATTTATTTTCCTAATAAATCGCAGAAACAATGTAATAAAATTGTTTTGGAAAGAAAACAACTCATGTTATCAGTTTCTGAATAAAGAGTTGTGTTTTGCTGCTTGAGTGGCTTACTTTTTGAGAATGAGATGCATGGGGAACAAAATAGCATAGCAAAGAAAGAGAACAAAGAGTTATTGTTGGTTGGCTAGGATTCAGTTTCACCAAAGAGCATTTGCAGTTCATCCGCACCTTGATCTCCTTACTTTGCGCTGAGGCGTGGCTTTCTTCAAAATTCAGGGTATATCTTAATGCACCTCTATTTTTTTGTGTGAAATGCTATTAAAACATGTTGGTGGATTAACTTATTATATTTATAGGAGAAGCCATGCCAGTTACTAAAAAACCTGGCAGCACGGTTATTGCGGGTTCTCTCAATGCACACGGCTCTGTGCTTGTAAATGCAACTCATGTTGGCTCCGATACCACCCTGGCACAAATTGTGAAACTAGTTGAGGAAGCTCAGATGTCAAAGGTAAAACAAACAAAGTGTTGTGGGGGGGAGAGAAGGGCGTTTAAATTCATATGCTGACCTGGGTGTTCAAATTACTAGAAATACTCCAGAACTCTAGTGCAGTGGTGGCGAATCTATGGCACAGGTGCCAGAGGTGGCACTCAGAGCCCTCTCTGTGGGCACGCGCGCCGTCGCCCCAGTCCTAGGCCTTCAGCTGGGTTTTATAAAACCTTTTCACTTTAGGCCTCCGCCGCCGTGTGCAAAAAAAAAAAGGTTCAATCAGTCAATTTCAACTTCTCGCAGGAAAAAAAAAGATCTTGCAAAGTTGGAATTGATTGATTGAACTTTTTAGTCCCACCCAGTCTGCCATTACCACCACAGCCACCCCCAGCCAATGGGCCACGCCCAGCCAATGGGCCACACTCACCCGGCACTCCACGATGCATAAGTGGGTTTTGGGTTGTAGTTTGGGCACTCGGTCTCTAAAAGGTTCGCCATCACTGCTCTAGTGTATAAAACTAAAACCCACTCTCCTAAAATATTTCTCAAAGTTCTTTCCCTATCCTTCCCCATCTGAGGTCTTCTGAATCCCAGCTTCTGCCAGCATTTGGAGGGCACCTGATTCAGAAAGACAGTTTTAAATCTAATCCCCTGAGTTTGCCTACTTGGTTTATTTTCCTTGTTCAGTTTCACAATACATCCTTAAACTAACTGTTAAATTGCATTGGATGAGATGCCTGCTTACATGGTTTTCTCCAATCTGATCATATAGGTTAGTTGGTCCTGCTGGATCAGGGAGCCAGTAGGGAAAGCAACTGTTATCATGGATCAAGAGTTGGGAAACCGCAGAAGGCCTTTATGATCTTACTGCAGAAAGATCATGTACAGTTGCAATCATTGGGCTTAGGACATTGTCATCACAGAACTATTGGTTGAAACACCTTCTATAGATTGCTTTAGTCCTTGGAGTCCTGAACATACTTCGTTAGAAGTAAATCCTCTTGTTTCAGTAACAAGCTAAAAACATTTCTTCAGGACTTTCAAGAGACAAATTAACTTTCAGTTAATTCACTAATGGCGTTTTAATCAGAGGTGAGAGACATGGAGAGAAAACTGTATTTCTCTAAACCACGTGTATTTGTAAAATATTTAATTAGATAAGTTTATGCATTTTTTTAAATATTGTGCGCTAATAAGAACTTACTGTTTTCGGATTTGCAGGCACCCATCCAGCAGCTAGCTGACAGATTTAGTGGTTATTTTGTTCCATTTATCATAATAATTTCAACAGCAACCCTGATAACATGGATTGTAATTGGATTTATACAGTTTGATGTTGTACTAAAATATTTTTCTGTAAGTATTGTTTATTTAATTATAATAATTAAAGTATTGTAATTACTTGCAATACTTACTTACAATAATTCCAGACAGTTGTTAAAATGGCTTCAGCATGCATTAGTAAGATATAAATAAATTGAGAATATGCAAGAAGAATTAGGTAACAATGAACCACTCAAAGGTTTGTATATGTGTCTGTCTGTCTGTCCGTCCATCCACCCCTGTATCTTTTTTTTTGCAATTATTTAAAAATATTTGTGTAAACATTGGCACATACTTTTAAGATCCCAGGAAACCCAATTCAATGATTCCAGATTCAATATGAACTCCAAGATCCAGACATCTGTCATCTATTAAATCTGACATTTTCCGATGGTTTTTATTTTTTTATGCTGATTTCCAATGCTGTTTCTTTATGTCTCTGGGGATCAGAAAGAGGAGAGAAATGGGTTTCTCAAGAACTTAGCTATCCCATTTGAGAATGAAATGCAAAACAATTCACTTGAACATTGTATTACTTCTACCCATTTGTCATAACATCTCAGTGCCAGGACATGCATTTGTTCTCTTTCTCTCACATTAATATAGTGAGCAAATATTACTATGTGAATTAAACTGATCGATTGCCAAATATCATTTGGGCAAAAGCTGAAGTTTTAATTCTACTGTTACTTTATACAGTTACAGAGCCTTGTTTAGTTTGGGCCGTCAAACAGAACAGCAATCATGAAATTAAACAGGATGAGGAAATCTTTGGAACTTTGTCACCTTGCAGTGTTTTAGGTTTTTAATTTGTAATCTCCAAATACCCCAAGTGCTGCTTAAAAGAACAACTATTAAGCAGGATAATTAAGGACTGGAGCAAAGTGGAAATGATCAGATCTAACTATTAAGAGAAGACAGTGTATTCTGAAAAGGCAATTAAATGCAATTGAGAGTCAGAATATTTTTATATGGAAGAGTATATTGAAAGCAGTTTCAACAAAAAATGGTAGAGGGACTGAATTTTCACATACAGTGATTTCTCTCCAAAAGACCAGCATAAAGGTGTGTGAGAGCATGTTTGTGCATAATATGGCTAATATAAAAGATTACCAATAACTAAAAATCTCTTGCAAATAAATATGTCTTGCTTTCTTTCTAGAATCACAGCAAACACAACTCAAAAGCCGAAATTATCATACGGTTTGCTTTCCAGACCTCCATCACAGTGCTGTGCATTGCATGTCCTTGTTCTTTGGGCCTGGCTACTCCAACTGCTGTGATGGTGGGCACTGGAGTTGCTGCTCAGAATGGTATTCTAATCAAAGGTGGGAAACCCCTGGAAATGGCACACAAGGTTAATATTGTCATTGCTAATTTACGACTGTTGTTATTAGTCCTAAGCTGGAAGCAATTTATTATATATAGCCTGTGCCACAGTCTTTTTAAACAAACCAAAAAGCAAGCTTACTGTGTGTTCCTTTGCATACCTGCTGATTAGTAGTCACTAAAATGGTTTCAGAGGCTTGCTGTCTTAATGTGCAGCTTAATTGAAATGTCCAGAATTTAAGTTTTACATAGGAAATAATTCCAGTTTTTGGTCTTCAGAGAGAGAAATACGGTAGTTATTCTGCTCCTGTCCTTGACATTTGGTTTAGCAGTCAAGGACCAAAATGTGAAACTTTGTCAGACGTAAATGCAAAGATTGATTTGCATTTAAGACATTGGCAGATCTGTCAGATAATATTACTAATGGCCCTAATAAAGTCATATACTTTAGGACAAACTGTTTCTGTATGTGGCCAAGAAAACCTCATGGGTATGTCCATGAGTCAAGTTTGACTTGAAAGAAAACTTTACCTAACAAAACATGAAAAACTGAGAATTTACTTAATAAATTGCTCAAAACTGAAGAAGGAGAGTAACTTAAGATTTTGGAAATAGGACAATTTGCTTTTGTCAAAAAAATAGATGAATTAGATTGATTAATTAAGTATTAGTTAAGATGGCAATGTTTGCCATCCATAAAAAGAGGCACTTTTTCCAAGAAAGAAAAAAGGGCACTATCCTGCCAAAGTCTGGGACTACTTTTCTTACAATATGCCCCACCCTATCAGCAAGCTGGTCCTCCCTGTTACAAAGGAACTATACTCTGGATGTTTCAAATTAGCAAAGCCGTTACTTGTCAATATGACTTCTTCCAGGTGAAGACAGTGATGTTTGATAAAACCGGGACTCTGACTTACGGTGTTCCCAGAGTCGTGCGCGTTCTCTTGCTGGGAGACACAGAAGCCACCCTGTCTCTGAAGAAATTCCTTGCTCTCGTTGGTACTGCTGAAGCGAGCAGCGAGCATCCTTTAGGAATGGCTGTTACTCGGTATTGCAAAGAGGTGTGTTCTTTTCACTGACGTCCAGTCCTGCTTCGGGTGGAAAGTTCTGCCGTGGCACATAACAAGCTCTAAAATGGTTCAATTATTAAATCTTATATAAAACATAAGTAGCCTTAAATGTCTTAAATGAGGCAAAAGAAACCACACTGATGTCTTATAGTGATAATTAATATCAGAGAATTGAACCCTCTCAGTTTAAAGAACAGAGAGTTAGGAAGTAATAATAATAATAATAATGATAAAGTTGGAAGGGACCTTGGAGGTCATCTAGTCCAATCCCCTGCTCAGGCAGGAAACCCTATACCATTTTGGACAAATGGCTGTCCAGTTTCTTCTTAAAAACTTCCAGTGTTGGAGTATTCACCGCTTCTGGAGGCAGGTTGTTCCACTGGTTAATTGTTCTAACTGTCAGGAAGTTTCTCCTTAGTTCTAGGTTGCTTCTCTCCTTGCTTAGTTTCCACCCGTTGCTTCTTGTCCTGCCTTCAGGCGCTTTGGAAAATACCTTGACTCTCTCTTCTTTGTGGCAACCCCTGATATATTGGAACACTGCTCTTGTGTCCCCCCTCGTCCTTCTCTTCATTAAACTAGACATACCCAATTCCAGCAACCCTTCCTTATATGTTTTAGCCTCCAGTCCCCTAATCATCTTTGTTGCTCTTCTCTGAGACTTTCTAGAGTCTCAACATCTTTTTTGCATTGTGGTGACCAAACCACCTCCCTTCTCCCCAGTTCTTTTGGAAAAATAGTAGTGCTTTTTCCTAGGATGCGTTTCTTCAAAGTCAGAACCACCATTTGAGGAAGCTGCCTTCTTACGGCCAGATCATTGTGGGCATCCACTTTTTTCAGATTTGTTCTTAAGCATCACTCCTGAGCTGAGTTGAGCCAGGAACATGTGCTGCACAGAGAACCCCTTGGATGTGAACTCCCACCCAATTCCCCTTTAGCTGGCTCAGGGTAATAGCCTGATACAAGAGGGACTTCAGTACTTGAAGGGACAAAGCTACCAAACTTGATCTAAAATGGAGAGATGAAATCCCTAGCTCTCTAAAAAAGATAGAACCAGAGTTCCCAGCATCCCTCGGTATTGGCTATCCTGGCTGGGTTACCAAGTATTGCAATTCAGTAACCTCATAGGGCCGTGGTGGCGAACCTATGGCACGCGTGCCACAGGTGGCACGCACAGCCCTCTCTGTGGGCACGTGCGCCATCGCCCCAGTCCTAGGCCTTCAGCTGGGTTTTATAAAACCTTTTCGCTTTAGGCTTCTGCCGCCGTGTGCAAAAAAAAAAGGTTTAATATATCAATCAATTTCAACTTCTCGCGGGGAAAAAAAGATCTCGCAAAGTTGGGATTGATTGATTGAACTTTTTAGTCCCACCCAGTCTGCCGTTATCATGCCCACCCAATTGGCCACGCCCACCCAATTGGCCACACCCACCCAATGGGCACGCCCACCTGGCACCCGATGATACATAAGTGGGTTTTGGGTTGCAGTTTGGGCACTCGGTCTCTAAAAGGTTCGCCATCACTGTCATAGGGCCATAATTTCTTAGTACTGTCAAACAGACCTAAGCAAGTTAAGTATCCCCCAAAGCTATAACTACTTTTTTTAAAAAAAAAAAGAGAAGGGCTACTTTGCTTTGAGAGAATTCGTGACATTTAAGCCAAGTTCAGAATATCTGTGAGAAACCCTTTATTTTGAACTGTAAAATGTTTCTCAAGCCAGTTTATAGTACTAATCTGATTTAAAAATGAAGTAGTATAGTGAGATACATAATTTCAATTTAAAGTACACTTCATTTTTGTACATGTTTTTCAAGTTTAAATTTGGGAAAGCTATTATTCTAGAAAGTAGCTACATATCATATTAACTTTTTATATTCACATCATCATCATGTGCCATGGTGGCGCAGTGGTTAGAATGTACTATTGCAGGCTACTTCTGCTGACTGCCAGCTGCCTGCAGTTTGGCAGTTCGAATCTCACCAGCTCAAGGTTGACTCAGCCTTCCATCCTTCCAAGGTTGATAAAATGAGGACCCAGATTGTTGGGAGCAATAAGCTGACTCTGTAAATTACTTAGAGCTGTAAAGCATTGTGAAGTGGTATATAAGTCTAAGTGCTATTGCTATTTCAGAAAAACGTTTGAAAACTGCTTATTGTTTTAAATGTTTCTATTTATGCATGAAAATGAAGCATTTTGCTCCTTCAAAGTGATGTTTAAAATATGTATTTTGCAGGAACTTGGCACAGAGATCCTTGGATGCTGTAAAAACTTTCAGACAGTTCCTGGATGCGGAATAAGCTGTAATGTTAGTAGCACTGAAACCATATTGGGTGATGAGCAGGATGTGATCAGTCTCAGCCCTCATATTTATGGCTCTGATAAAGGTGTTAAAGATCAGACTCCACTCCCCAAAGTAAGGGGTAAGCAAGGTGCTATTTAGAAATGGAGGAGGTTTGCTTAAGGAATTACCTAAGTTACTGTAGGTCCAACCAGCTCATGTTGGCTATGTTCCTGGTTAAAGATGTTAAAAAACTTTTCAAATGCTCTACCAGTCAAAGCTGTGCCATCTTTCCTTCCTGGTTTCATCTTTTCTGGAAAGGAGAAATATGGAAGAGATGGGGAAAACAGATTAAGATTAGATATTGTTTCTTAGGGTTTTTTTAAAAAAATAAAGAAGACCTCATAAAAGCCTCCAAAGGATATTTTTTTTTAAGGCTTGGATAATAGAGTGCTTTGATCAGTTTAGGAGCTTCAAATTTAGCAAGCAGCAGGCCACTGGAAAAAAGAAGACCAAAGGAAACACTGATTTAGATTCAGTAAATCATCTAATTGATAAGAGATGGTGTTTAGAAAAGTTTTTTTTAAAAAATCTTAGGGTTTGTTGTATTCATCATAAAACTTCCTAAGGTCTATCGCAGTGATGGCGAACCTTTTAGAGACTGAGTGCCCACACTGCAACCCAAAACCCACTTATGCATCGTCGGGTGCCGGGGGGGGGGGGCATTGGGCGGGCGTGGCTGCGGTGGTAACGGCAGACTGGGTGGGACTAAAAAGTTCAGTCAATCAATTCCAACTTTGCAAGAACTTTTTTTTCCCCGCGAGAAGTTGAAATTGACTGATTGAACTTTTTTTTTTTTTTTGCACACGGCGGCGGAGGCCTAAAGCGAAAAGGTTTTATAAAACCCAGCTGAAGGCCTAGGACTGGGGCGAATGTGCGCGTGCCCACAGAGAGGGCTCTGAGTGCCGCCTCTGGCATCCGTGCCATAGGTTCGCCACCACTGGTCTATAGGAAACAATTTTTCAAAAAGGTTGGAGTAATTTGAGTGACCCATAAGACAGAAGGAGAACTAAATGGATGAATATTCCTAAATGAAATATCTCCAGCTTCTGTAAATCAAGATGATGAGCAACATGAGCAATACAACCAAGTCTGAAGAGTTGTTACAGTTTCATGTTCTTGCCCCAGTACAGAAAAACACCACACGGTCTGTTTTGAAGAAAGCAAAACTCCATCAAATCGCCCATTTGTTTGTTAGGCAAGGTAGATGCCCAGGGGTGTACAATGATTATCTTAATTCCAGTGTACCTGTAAAGTTCCAAGTGAAAGAAATTTGTCTTAGTCTGGTCAGAATTGTCTGATTATATGTGCTCCATTCTGCATTCCAGTTCCCTTTTGACTTGCAGTCAAAAGTCCTTTCTTCCCTCTGGAATTCAGTTTTTCTTAGTTCCTGGTTCCTCATAGTGCCTTTTAAAAAGATATTTGCTTTGTGTACTCTTTCCTATCTAATTTCAATCATTGCCAAGCAGTAAACGGATCGTATACAAATCTAATTCCACAACACTGTACTTCTCATAGCATCTTAAAAGTTTTGAAGAATATTCTGAATTGGCTTGCCAAGACAAGTAAATTGACATTCTATCATCCTTATCAGATTATATAGGTTGATACCTTTTAAGCAAACAGATTGGAATATCAGTTCTTAAGAAAGCCTCTCCTGTAGCTTATGAAAGTCTTTATTTAAATCCTCACAGTTCTGCCTTCTTATACCTGACAGATACTGCAGCCTCTCAAACTTACTCCGTGTTGATTGGGAATCGGGAGTGGATGAGACGGAATGGCCTGCATATCTCCAGTGATGTTCATGAGGCCATGAGAGATCATGAAATGAAAGGACAGACAGCAATTCTGATGGCTATAAACGGTAGGCTAACTGATCAGGGTTAAAGGAACATATGTGAGAGGGACCTCGGAGTCCTACTGGACAATCACCTAAATATGAGCCAGCAGTGTGCTGCAGCTGCCAAAAAGGCCAACACAGTGCTAGGCTGCATTAACAGAGGGATAGAATCAAGATCA